AATTATTTTAAAATTTTTTATTTTTATATATATTTATTAATAAAAATTGATAGACTTTTATGAGCTACCGTATAAAGATTAGTTAATTACCATTATAACAAAAAATCTTTTTACAAGAAGTAAAATCAACAAAATCTCTTTTTTTTTTTTTTTTTGTGAATAGCATTAAGTAATGACATAAGTGCAAATTAAAAAAACAATTAATCATTAATATTAAATATACAATATTATAGTATAATAGAAAAAAATTGCGCGCAAAATAAAAAATTAATATTTTCATTTTTTTTTTTTTTTTTTTTTTGTAAAAACATGTTGAGGCTGCAAATTTCTATGACATTATAGTCAATCATATACCACATGCGGTTGTTTGCCATGTTAAAATCACATGAAGTAAACCTAATTTTCTTGAAAAAGTTAAATCTGGTAATGGCTGATATTCTTAAAATAAAGTACAACACATGAAATCATCAAGATATACACATGACTTTTCAACAATTTTAAACAAATTCGATCCTGTAATGCTCTCGTCACGACTAAATAAATGTCAATATTTTTTAGGGAAACATGAAATAAAATTGGCCCCAAATGAATTTTCAAAAGTACCCATTCGGAAATTACTAAGTGGCATATGCAGCTACCCAGTAAGATTATGATCATCTTTTTCATAGAATAAAAAAAAAAAGTAGTTGCGAATTAGTAATTGTCGTTATTCAGAATACTTCTGTTTACAGATGATAATGGCCAATCTTTGTTGCACAGGTCGGATCTTTTAATGACGCATCAAGGTCAAATAGAAGCCCTATCGAAACTCCGTGTCGAATACTTTTCTTCGGATCAGATGATTTTTCGGTTGCTTCGTTGTCGGCACTGATCGACGAAAAATGTAAGAAATATCAAATTGATCACGCTTTACAGACTTTATTTTACGGTACGATTATTAAAATTGAAAATACTTAGCATCGAATGGGAATAATTCTTTCATTAAGTCAATCGAGGTTGTGGTGCCACCCGACCACATGACAGGAAGAGGATTAAAGCGGGTAAAACAAAGTGCGCAAATTAAATTTTTCATTTGACCTAATAATATTTTTACGAAACAAATTAACATTGTATTTAAACAAAGGTCCCGTCAAGCTACTTGCGGAGAATCAGGAGTTAATTGTTCATGAGGCACCGTCAAAAACTTTAAAAGGCTGGGAGGTAATGATCGGTCACCTATTTATATAATATGGTATTAGGAATTAATTGAATTTCGTCACTAAGAATTTCACGAATCGCGATCTTAAGATTCCCAAGCCGCACGATTCAGCACGCTTTGATATAGGTGTTGTGGTATCATTTGGATATTTCTTAACGCCCAGGATTCTTGAATCTTTTACAAAAGGAGCTCTAAATGTCCATCCCTCGTTATTACCAAAGTAAAGGAACCCTCGATCCATTGTAGCAGATCGCTTAATACTTTGCGTATTATTATTCACTGATTCTATTTTATATGCAGGCATCGGGGTGCTTCTCCTATCCAGTATGCAATAATGAGTGGGGATGAAGAAACCGGTGTCACAATCCAAGAGCTTCATCCTAAAATTTTTGATGCGGGTCGAATCTTCAGGCAGATAACTGTGGTTAGAATCGATTCTTTTATTTCACGTTCCGCATAACAGGGCGTCACGTTTTTCGTAACAATTTTTGGTAATCTTTATAGCCACTCCCTCCACTTTCCACCTATTTATCGTTAGGACCAATTCTTGCAGCCAAAGGTTCCGAATTACTAGTCGATACTCTCCGCTACTTTGATTATTACAAGGTAAAATATGGTTCGGAGCTCTGTTTCCGACTGGAGATAAATCATATTTAATTTTTTATCTGATAACACAGGCGAATTCTCAGGAACAGGATGAAGCCAAATCCACAAAGGCCCCAAAAATTTCGAAAGACATGGCTTTAATTAAATGGGATCAAACCTCGGCAAAACAATTGGATAGATTACATCGTGCTATCTCACATCAGGTTTCAAACATTTTAGCGCATCTGACTAATGAATGGTTAACTTGGTTCTCCATTAAATTTTCCTCTTTCCTTTTCGCAAAATGTGTATCCAGTACCCCCTAATAACCTTCTTCAATGGTAAACTCGTACAATTGCACCAACTCTCTGTGCCTGCTCAGAATGAAGCCGAAGCATTAAGATCAATAATTTCACGACGCAATGAACCAGGGACAATAATTTTTGATCAACATGAATCAAATTTATCATCGATCTACATAGTATGTAAAGATGATGCCGAGTTAATTGGCTGCAAAAGTGTGAAGATGGAGGGTAAAAAAGAGATTCTGGTAAAAGATTGGATTAATGGGTACCAAGTAGAAAGCGGAAAAACGAAATTTGAGATTATTGCCTAAATAAATAAATGAATGAATGAAGGTGATGATTATCACGGTATCAATTCTTTCCGAAACCACCATAACCGGAATAATCGGAACATTTTAAACTCTGAAATTTCCGATATATAAATTTTACGGGTTGTTTTGATTGGTCAATTGTCGCACAAAAAATTATAGGATTTTAAGGGACCCCAATTGTCGCACCAATTCCGTAGTAGAATTAGTGGAATGCAATTGTTTGATTGACATCAACGTTAAGCCTCTTTTAAAAAAAAAAAAAAAAAAAAATTTTTTTTTTCTTTACACTGAAAATTTTTCATACAGCCTTCCAACAAAACACAATGACAACGAAAGAACAGGAATTTGACAGAAAACTACACGAGTTGCTTGAGAGAAAGCCGCCTGGAATAAGTGCTTCGAAAATAAAAGACTTGACGAGAATCGCAATGACCAGTCCCAAGGTGAGATGTGTTTGAAGCTTGACAAAACAAATATTTAAGAGGTCACATAAGGTTTCAAAACGAACGTAAAAAGATAGAGAGAAAATTGTTGGTCTTGAATTCTTGATCAATTACAAAATTGAATACAAGTGAGAAAATACATAAGTGACTTTACATTTCGTTATGGAAATGATAAAATAATAAAATTTAATGCAACACGAGTTGATTAATATAAAAGATACCACATTTTCTGTAAATCCGCAAACACTAAAATGTCATTTGCTCATGATAATGCTTTAAATTCATACTTCCAGCAATATAAAAGCATTGTGCACAGCTTACAGAAATTCATTCAAAGATGCGCGGCCGATTACAAATTGGGAGCATTGTATGTACTGGATTCAATATCACAGGCAGCACAAAGGCAAAAGACTTTGGTTTCGGAAAAAGATGGTGATGGTATTTCTTCTTGGTCAGGTGCTGAATATCTGGAGAGGTTCGAGAAAATATTAGAAGAGATGTTCTCGAACATCATGCAATGTCCGGATCATGATAAGGTAAGGATCTTGTGTTAAGGTCATTTCTCTTTAATTTCTATGTTGTTAGTCTTTTTTTTTACAAGAGAAGATAAGATCCCTTCGTGCAGCCCGTGTTGAATTTCTGACCATCGATCATCATCAACGTGAATTTTTTTTTAAAAAAAAAAAAAAAAAAAAAAAAAAAAAAAAAAAGAAAGTATCCTAAAGATCTTGAGCCATTCAAAATTGAAAAAATTCTGAGCCTTTTGTGCGTGATCTTAAGGGTGCCAACTTTCTAAATACAACTGGTGCAAATTCGTCTGATTTCTCTAGAATTTCCTCTTTCCTCTTTTTCTTTTAAAGTCTTATGTACTCGCCGCATTGTCGGTCCATTAATTACTTTTTCGTACATCCCATTATTTGAAACAGTCTAGTGGAATATAAGGATTTAATCTTCTCTTTTTTTCATGTTATTAATAAAAAACAAACTCCGTATATATATAAAACACAGGAGAAAGTGAAACGTGTACTTGACATATGGCTTAGCAAAGATGATATTTATGACAAGGAGATGATTCGCAAAATAAAAGACACCTATTTTTCCCAGAGAGATGCAACCAAACCATTAGAAAACAATGTGTCAATATCGGTTCCCACTACAAGTGGACCGATGGTCGGAGTGGTTCCTACACCAAGTAATGTGTCGTTCATAAATTGTTGATACAAATTTGAGTGATTAAGTAAAGGAATCGTTTGTTTCAAGTTATTAAAAACGAGATTTTAATGGATTATTTTTATTCAAACCAGTTAACCCCACATCCACTGTAGATCAAGCAACATTAAATCCGACAGCCTTGGATTCTTCAGCATTATTAGCAACTTTGAATGATCTAACTCAAGGAACATTAAATATACCCTCTTTCCTGTCGTCCAATCCGATAACTTCTGCCACATCGCAACCTATTAATAATGCTATTGCCTTTAACAATGTTACTGCTAATCCGATTCCGCAGCAGGTATCGTTGTCTGCTGCATCACAGTTTACAAACATGAATATGTCCTCATCGTCATTGCCGTTGAATACTGTGTCTCAGCCTCCAGTATCTGCACCTGTGCCTGCGAGCAATGGTTTTTTACAAACACCTCTGTCTTCTTCCAATTACACGAAAGTTGTTACAAACAATACTAACACCACCAAAGGCAATGCGTCTGTAAATGATCCTCTTGATTTTGATTACGGGGACATGGACGAAGACGAAGATCCGGGCGCCACGTCATCTGCCCCAAATGGTGAAATAAATAATGGCGCTGAGAAAAACCTGACGAGTGCCATAAACGTGCAACCTGTAAATGTGTAAGTAAACTGTGTGCTTTTCGAATTATAATGAACATTTTGGGGATGTGAATGCTTTTTTTTTTTTTAAAAAAAAAAAAAAAAAGAAAAAGAAAAAATCAATACTTTCGTTCCCGAATGTATCTTTCTCCATTCAAATTGCGATCATTGGCAACTAGGAAAAAAAAAAGTGAGAGAAAACGATAACATGTATGGGCTGTTTGTATCGGAACATACACATTTTCTAGTTGGCTACGATTCAATGTGGAGAATCTGAAACAATAAAATTTTCTACAATTGAATATTTTTTTTTTCTTTCCCCGTACTAAAGAGTCACACGTGATCCTCATTGATTCCTTCTTTGGGGGGGTTAGTTAATGTGATATGATTTTAAATCTTCATTTTATTTGTTCTTTCATAGAAGTCAACCAACCGCATCCATAACGCCGACCATGACTCAAGATCAATACCAAATAATGAATAATCAATTCGCACCACCGCAAGTTTCTCAAGGTGTTGCCACGGATGCCAATCAATCGATTCCACCAACGCCCGTGCCGCCCTCGCTAATCCCTTCCGGCCAGCCACAAGCTCAACCAAATCAATCAATGCCCCCTACTAGTGTTGCTCCCTTCAACTACCCGCCTCCAACCCAACCTTGGGTAGCACCTGCACAACAACCACCGCCATCCAATGTTCTACCTCCACCTCAAGGTCAATTCCAAGCTCCTCCTCCATTCCCCGTACCTCCATGGAACGGACAACAAACAATTCCGCAACCACCGTGGAACTCAAACAGCCCATCTTTCCCGGTTCCTCCTACACCACGCCCCCAGCCCGGATCATTTCCGACACAATTTCCCGGGCAACCTGGCCCTCAACAAGGATTCCCGGCACCTCCTCCGGGACTTCCAAATCATCCTATACAGCACCAAGGGCCTCCGGGCCCTCCGCCTCCTCTGCAAGGTCCCCCCGGTGCTCAATCAATGGGACACGTGATGCAACATCATCAGGGTCCACCGGCCCCACAACCCCTTGTTCCACCGGGGCCAAATCCTCCTCAAGGTCCGCCAGGTCAGTTAGAACCGCCACCAATGTCCCAACCAGAGGTCAGCATTGCATACGAGGATCAAAGTATCGGAAGGGATTATATAAAAGGTACCTTTTTTTTTTCTGTTTTCTTTTAGCATTCAACGACTCTCTCATTTATTAATCTTTTATTTTCGAATACGTAAAGTTTTGAGTCGAACTCTTTATGTTGGAAGCGTGTCGGAAGAGGTCCCCAAAAAATTAATGGAAGAGATATTCTCCAAATATGGGTCGATATCTACTATTACGGTACGGGTGAATTTGAATGAATTTGACTCATCAATTAAGTTCCAAGAAAGCGTTATATCTGACGAGTTCCTTAAATTTAGATCAATTACGAGAAGAATCATGCTTTTGTGAAGATGGAAACACGAGCAGCCGCTTCACGAGCGTTGACCGGGCTCAGAAGGAATGCAGGGCAAAAAGGCAAGCAGCCATGTGTCATAACAATCGTAAGTTCATCTAAATAAAGTCACCCGTGTTTGAGTACAATTGTGCATACAATAAATCTCTAATATTCTGCCATTTCAATATGTAAAGGTGCGTTGGGGAGTGGGTTTTGGTCCTAAAGACTGTTTCGACTTTGTGTCTGGTGAGTCATTAATTCCTCTAGCCAGGCTCACAGAAACTGATCGCAAATGGTTGCTTACAAGCAAATGTGGCGGCACCAGTGGGAGACCTGTGATTGGTGGAATTGTGGTTGAGGAGCCGGACATCGTGATTGGCGAAGGATTTTCCAGCGGCTCTAGCAACAAGAAACTGGGTTCCCAATTCGAAAATCCACGTGTTGATAGGCGTAGCGGGTTTGATAGGGATGTTCGATCACCACGTTCATCAGATTCTAGAAAATTTTCGGACTCTTCTTGGGGAGGATCCTCTCCTAGGCGTTCCAATAGCAAGGACGTGAAGCAATGGACGGAAAAATCCAGTGATGCTACATACCAAGGGCAATTTCAACTTTCTGAGAAAGATTATTTATCGGATCAGCAGCAACCTTACGTAGGTCAACCGCACGCAGGATCGAATGGTCAGGACAGCCGATTACCATTGCAACAAACACAATCCGATTTCAATTCGACCTTACCGTCACAAGATCAGCTATTTCAACAGAGACAAGAGAAATCTTCACCACAGCCATTTCCTCACAAAAGAGAACATTTTGGTCCTCAGAAAGATGAACATTATCGTGAGAACAAAAGATCAAGATGGGACAAATAGAGTTGATAATTAATAAGGTCGAAATGACTATTTTCTCGAGGATAGAAAAGATCCGAATGAACAATCTAAATTTAATGCAGAAAATATGATGTGTTTGTGATGTATTGAGGCATGTTTTTGTTCTTATTTTAAAGGACGAAACTGGACAATTCTGTCATTTAGTCGGTAGTTGTTTCGGACGGAACTTGTATATAGCAAAGAAAAAAAAAAAATTTTTTTTTTATAGTCTTAATTATAATTTTTTAATTTGCATTTTAGCAAATTTATTCTTTCCCCTTTTTTTAAAAGAAAAAAAAGAACTATTTCTTCGAGATTGGCGGATGAGATGAAGATAGTAGAGTATTAATGATTAGCGTGCAAATCAAATAAGCGCGATACAACCCTCCAAGGTCTTAACTCCCACAATGGATAAAGAAAAAAAATAATAATGATAATAAAACTCCAATAAACCTGAAATATGCCGTAACAGAAAAAGCAGAAACTTCACCCCTTATTTTTCATTAGACATATATCCGTCTGCAGATTTAAATAAATTTAGAAATTTTTATAGACAATAAGCGTGCCGTTGATATTGTGTCTATGGTTTTCTCTGAAATCTTTCAAAACTTTTCTTTATTCATTCTTTTAATTTTAATAAAATCAAAGTATACTATTTAAAATAAAGGGTTTAAAAAAAGGTTACAATTTGGCATTTACAAACATAAAAAAGAAACACCGTATTTATAGAAGTCCAATCAATCTCATAGTGTTTACAAAAAAGTAGAAATGTACAATAAGAAATTAGAAAATAAATAAGAATTAACAGGCACTTCAAAAAAAAATTACATCTGACTATTATCAAAAGGAAATTGAAACTTGAACTTTATTATTATTATTTTTTTTATAACCCGATTAGTTATATGTGCTTTATTAAACATAATATACTATAGGTTATACTAGTTATAGTGTCACTAAAGCTAAATTATCAATTAATTTATTTATTTTAATTTATTATCAAACTCTGAATGCAACTTTGAGAGTGGTTTGTCACTTTATTTATAGTTTGGATTAATATCTTCCTACTATGAATATTATTGTTTGCAGTAAAAAAAGATATTTTAACTCTTTTTGCTGATCTTCTGATTACACACAAAAAGATGTTTTTAAGAAGTTTTTATATTTTTTTGTTAATAAAGTCTTAATACTTTCCTTAAAATAACTATAAGTATAATTTCAAAAGTCATTTCTATTTTTTTTCTATTATTTATAAGTCTTTTTAATCAAAAACTTGACTTTCAATAATTAAGCAAAGTCAAGTAATATCTTTGATATCAATTATAAAAAATTTTTAAAAACAGAAAACCTAATTATAAAAAATTACAAAATCAATTGATTAAATTACTTATCACTTTTCTTTTTCTTCTCTTCCTTTTCTTCTACTTGATTTTTTTTTTCCTTTAAAGATTTCAGCTTGATTCTTTTAAAACTAGTCTCAATTGATTTTATTTTGCTATATATTTTCTGAGATTTATTATTTTTTTTTTAACATAACTGTTCCCCAAATTTTATCCTTTTATACACTTTCCTCAGTTTGTTTCTCACCTTTTGAATACAATAATGATTTCTTATATTTGATAATTTTTCATTTTTTGAATTTAAATATCAATTCTTTATTCTTTCCTATCTATTTTTCTTGTTCATATTCCAAAAATTTTTTTAAACTGTATGTCCAATTTAGCAAGTCTTCTGATAGTATCATGTTATAGAAATATAAATCATTATGATTAATGATGGGTCCTTAAAGAATTTTGAATATAAAATTTTGCAGATTACTTATGTTTTTTTTTAAGGAATAAAATTTATAGCTCTTTACTTTAATAGGAACAAAAGTCAGAAAATGTTATAAATCAATAATTTGAATAATTGTGATATTTTTTTTATAGTTATTAATTTAAAAATTTTAATGTTTCCTAATGAGAGACATTTGACTTTTGTCACTGCTTCCCCTTTTAGGAACATATCTTTAATTATAATATTATTTATGAACTAGTTAAAATATTTAAATTAATTTCAAATGTTCATTCAAATATTCATCAAATCCTTTAACTATAAGTAATTATAATTAATATTGTATTATTCAGTATAAAATATTTTACTGAAAAATATCTCTTCAGAATATCAACTATAATTATATATATATTTATTCTTATTTTAAAATAGTTTTCTAAATCAGTCTCATTTTTTTCATGTAAATAAACTTTTGTTTCTTTAATTATATCAATTAATTTATTATGATATTTAATAACTTTCTTTAACTTTTATTCAATAAGTGACTATATGTTTTTAATTTTTCATGTCCTTTTCTTAATTATTTATTAAAAATTAATACTTGAAGGTAATATAAATATAGAACATTATTAATCTTACTTTGTTTAATCAACTATTTGTATATAAGCAATAATTGTCTACTTCCAGTTTTTTAGTTTCTATCTTCTGATATCTTCATCTCTGATAGTAATATATAGCACTTAACCATTTATTTATTTGCTTTTATAAGGAATTAAAATGTGAGAACATAGATTTTATTAATTTGTATATCAATTTTAATAATATTTTTTTATTCACATCATTCAAAAAAACTTTGTCTATCCTTGGTTTATATTTATCAAAAATAGTTTTTATTAAGGCCTTTATTTCCACTCTTACTTTTTCTAGTTTCAATTTATCCTCAGTAATCAGTTTTACCAGTTTTATCTCTTTATTGCTTCTCCTAGATTGAATTTTTTAATACTTTTTTAAACTCAGCAAACTTTCAAATTTTGATATATTGGCTGCTTTAGATTCTATAACTATTATAGAATCAAGTTCAGATTTCACAGATTTAAACTAATCAATTTCTTTTTTAAATCTTCTATTTTATTTTTTTGCTATTCTAATTTTTCAGAAAACTTGTTGTTAATATATTTTATTTTATTTTATTTTTTTTTTAAAACAGTAACTCAGCTCTGTTTTATTAAAGTTTCAAGTCGTGGCAAATAAATGCATATACAAGAAATGGTTACTAATAAAACACTCCTAGAACTGTCTATAAGTAGTTAAAATTTTATATTATTACTACTACTTTGATTCCGTAAGCTGGTTACTCTTCGAGGGCTTCATCAGTCGAGGGCATACTGCCTGTTTCTCAGCTGCTTTCAGTATCTCCATGTTGTGAAATTCTGGCTACTCCAATTCACGGGATGACTTGTTATCAGGGAGAATAACTCGGATCAATCTAATTTACACACCAAGAAAAAAGATTTATCGATTCTTCTAGATTCCCCCTAACTCACATGCTCAGGTGAGACACATCATTTTAAAAAAAAAATTTGACCCCCTTATGTCTCACCTGCCATGTAACCCAACTTTGCCACAGGGACTTTGTTTTCTAATCTTTACCTATTCAATGAAGCTGAAGAAAGAACCTACTCAGTGGCCAGGAGTGGTAACTACAATCATAAAACCCAATTGTAGTATCTTGTGACCTTTACCATAATCGGATGGACTTTTTCTTGAAGGAATCAATAATGTAAATGGAGAGATGTCCTATATCCACCCGCATCAGCACATGACTTATTGTGAACCCCAGGTTCTTATGGAGCTGAGAAAATGCATTCGGACATGTGAGGTGATCAATAGGAGCTTGTTTACTTTCTTATACTAATGTGAACTCCATTTGTCCAATTATGGTGTGAGAAAATTTGTGCTACTCAAAATTCAGGGTCAAACTGAGGTAGGCAAAATTCTCTAGAAAAAACCAAAAACGAGCTTTATGAGAAGCCAACAAATAACAAGAGAGTGGGAAAATTGTCTCTTATCATTACTGAACTTCTGTAATATTTCTCTACAGTGTGAAATGATGGCACATTAGTTCTTCTTCCTTTCAAAACTTTCTTGCTATTGGTAGGAAAGGTTTTTCTTGACCTTTATGGTTACTAGAAGTCAAGTTTTTATTTTAAGAGGATAGTAAGCAAGAGGAGAGGAGGTAGTTGATGACTCTTGAAGTTTCTTCAAGATGATTTAAGGAGAGTAGTAAGACTTTATTAGCTTAGAAGTATAAAAATTTTTTGCGAACATCTTTTTTGTATGTGGTCAGAGGATCAATGGAAAGAGTGTGTTTTTTGTTAATATATTTTATTAAATCTAATTGTTTTACAAATTCAATATTTTCTCTTTTTAGTTCTTCAACCTATATATATAATTCTTTATTTTCTAAATAAATTAATTAATTAATAAAGGTAAATTTTAATAATTTAGCAATAATTTAATTCTAATCTTTTTCAATGTTCTTTCTGATTCAAGTTGAATTCAACTTTTGATATTAATATTTATATAACTTCAAATATCAATATTTTAGACAATACAATAGATGACCTTCTTCTAATCAATTTAATTATTATGATAGTAATTGAAAATTCAGTATAAAGTATTACTGAACAAACTATTGCTGCTTCTAATGCAGTTGATATGAAAGAAGTTTGTAATGATAAGAAATATTGTGAAGGTTATGAAGATAAAATTAATTGTTTTCTATAAAAAATATATCCAATTGGTTTTTTTTATTTAAATATTTTAGATAATTAACAAAAGAAATATTAAATTATTAAAGAAATATTTAAATAAAATTATTTGTATTGTTTTAATACAATTCAGGATTGCATATAATTTTTTTTTTTTACCCTCTGTCAGGCTAATTATATGTACTTTATTAAACATTAGTATACTATACATGTGAAATGAAT